GCTGGCTGGAGAATTCTGGGAGTTGAAGTCCACAAGTCTTAAAGTTGCCAAGTTTGAGGACCCCTGGATTAAACCGTTGATAGGAAGCAAGGAAGAGTCTTGTTCAGAATTGTACAATTGGGCGAGATGGGTTAGTCTTGGTTGTCTTGCTCCATTTGCTGATGAAGGTGAAAGTCCCTGCACTCTCTCTCTACACACACACACACACACACACACACACGGGTCATTTTTAGCTAGTGTGTCCTAGAAAATGACACAACACGCACAATTTTTATTTTTGCTTTCCCTCAGCTTAGCTGTAGTCGCCTGGCCCTGCATTTCCACTGCTTAGCTTGTGTTGAGGATCACGAATGATGCTTCCACAGAGGGAGGAGAGAGGGCACCGAAAAGGGGGCTCGTGAGCCAGCGGTACCGAGATAACTTGCCCGGTCTGCCCCAAGGAGTGAAGAGGTTGCTGCTCTAAGAGAGGGCGGATGGCCTCCAATGTTGCTCCCGTCCCCGGCTGCCTCTTCCGTTTCATTTTTTTCAACCTCCGGAACCGGTCAGTATAGAGGAGTGGAGATCACACTTCCTTTCCACTCAGGCTGTGCCACTTCATATTAATTCTGCTTAATCAGATTCACTGATCGGATTAATTAATTCAAGGAAGGCGGAGAAAGCAATGCTGAGTTTTGCCAGGCTGCAGATGATTGTTTTTATAATCCATTGTAGCTGGGAGCCAGAAGACTCCATCCACCTGCTACTTCCGTATACAGTTGTGCTGTTTGCTTTGCAACCGTTTGCCAGGTTGGTCGCTGAGGGCTGCCCTGCCTAAGCTTGGTGAGGGTGCAGGGCCTTCTTTTCCAGGATCCAACCTGGATCGGTCACCGGGACCAGAAGTTTTTGTCTTCCGAGCTTTTGGACATAACGCTGGAGCCCAACTTCTCTGTGTGAAGAAGTTCCCCAAGGACGGGCTTCCAAGCATGACTCTGAAAGCTCAGAAGACAACCCTTCTGGTCCTGGCAACCGACCCAGGTTGGATCCTGCAACATTATCCTGGCAGTGCAGCAGAGAAAAGAGGGGCCAAACATCACATATCACAAGAGGCCTCTCTTTTCTCTGCTGCACTTCAGAAAGAGAGATGGAACTAGAAGCAGCAGCAGCATCAAGACAGGGTGCTGCCCTTGCCTCAGGGAGAGAAAATGAAGGCAGAGCTTCAGGTGGCCCCCGTGCTAGGAGGCTGAGAGAGGACCAAAGGCCCTACCTTCTGCAAAGCAGGTGGGGAGGGGGCCGTGTGCTGGACCTCACGGTGTTTTGGACCAAGCGTGATAAGTGATTTGTGAGGAAACGGCCCCTCTTCTTTGTAGGACTTGCATTGCTTCCTGTCTGTCCTGTGGCCCCATACCTGATGAAAAGGTATCCCGAGTTTCCTGAATGGGCATCAAGAGGCATTTCCAGAACCAATTCATGTTTGATGCTCACGATTTTGATTTTTTTGTTTTCATTGCAGATCCAAATATTGGATTTGAAACGAACACCCACACACACACCCCAAACAACTTCGAATGGCATAGCTAGGTATATGTTCGGTGCCCTTCTTCTTGCAGCTTTGAAAAGCAGCCATTGGAGACATGGTAAAGGATTTAAACAAAAACAAAAACAAAATCACAAAACAGCAAATGTTTGGCTGAGCTTGATTCTTTTTAAAAATGTAATATTAAGATTTTTTTTGTAAATTGTTTTTTTTTCCTTCTTATCTATGTACAAATTCTTGGCCATTCTTTGTTTTTACATGTTCCATGCTGTGTAATTTTGAATTGTTAACTGAAATACTGAACATAATGTGCATTTTTCTGTACAGATGAAATGGGAGAATTTAATAAAAGAGTCTGCGGGTTTTTGCTTTTTGCTGTGTTTTTCTCTGCCGTCTTTCATAACCACCCATCTTGAGTTCTGCTAAGTTTTCAAGGTTACTTAATGATGGTTACTGGTTGTCTACAGACTTTTGCCCTTTAATGTTTTTGAATTACTAAAGGACTCCCTGATCTTCAGACTGAGAAACCAATTCTCAAACAGGTACCCCCAGACCAGGGGTCTCCAGGGCTGAGGAATTCTGGGAGTTGAAGTCCACAAGTCTTAAAGTGGCCAAGGTTGGAGACCCCTGCCCCAGACGATTGTTTCTTGACTGACACTTATCAGCAAAGGACAGAGCTTTTGGGAGAAGAGGCATCCATGCTCTTCCTTGAACCTGTGCTCTCATCCCTTGATGCTATGGTCTGGTCTGCTTTGCTCTGGAAGGCGGAGAGAAGGCAAGGCTACTATGGGCCAAACCTTGACCTACAACAATGGGCCACACAGCAAAGGCTTGAAAGCAATCTCGGTTGGAGGGTGCTGGGTGAGATGTTTGATTTACTTTGGAAAATTTATATAGCATATGCCAATGAAGACTCAATCATCCAGGCCAAAAGCATTTTAAAAAACTTAAATCAGAACAACTGGACAGAAGTACAACAATCCAAAATGTTTCACTTCCCATCCAGGAAGCTTCATTCAGTCAATAAAAAAGAAAAAAAAATGGTTAGGCGGAGAGTGAGAATCATTGGAACGAACCATCATCTCCTGCCACACCAACTGACCCCAAAATGCACTGCAATTGCCAGTGAAGACTCAATCATCAATATATAGAATATATAATAGGACATAATAGAATATAGAGTATTATAGAATAGAAAATAGAATTTAATAGAATATATAGAATAGAATAGAATAGAATAGAATATAGAATGTAGAATATAATATAGAATACTATAAGTAGAATAGAATAGATAGACTGTAGAATTGAATAGGGCAATAGAATATACAGTATAATAGAATATAGAATAGAATAACTAGAATAGAATTAATAGAATATAGAATATATAGAATATAGAATAGAATATATCGAATATAGAATTGAATATATGGAATAGTATAGGATAGAATAGAGTATAATAGAATATAGATTATAGAATAACTACAATAGAATTAATAGAATATATAGAATAGAACGTAATATAGAGTATAATAAAATATATAGAATAGAATGCGGAATAGGAATAGGAGCTGGAAGGGACCCTGGAGGTCTTCTAGTCTAGCCCTCTGCTCAAGCAGGAAAACCTATACCCTTTCAGACAAGCGACTGTCCAGTCTCTTCTTAATTTGGCTCCGGTTCTTGCAAGCAGTCTCGGCAGCTGATCGGGCTCCACACAGAGCGCGCGTTGCATTTGACACGACTGGCGCTAAAGAAGCCGATTAAAAACTCGCATAACTACCAAGCAGCAGCAACCGCACTAACCAACGCTTCGGCCACGTGCTTTCGATCAATGTGCGCATGCGCTTGTTCTTTCACGCTCTTATCCCCGCCCTCTCCTCCCGCCCCCAACGCCAATTGGCTGCCGCCCGACGGTGTTACGCCACGGGCAGGCGCGCGACCTTGTCGCGCGCCGGGCCGGCCGTAAAGCGCGGGCGAAACAACAACAGAGGCGGAAGGTCGCGCGCCGCTTCCGCGCCCGTCTCAGGTCTCCCTCCTTTCCCCCCCCCGCGACGATACCTGTGGGGGCGGGGCTGAGTATGCAGATATCCCGCCGCGGGGCGGGGCCGACGATGCTAATTAAAGCCTCCAGGCAGCGCGTCCAGGTGAGCGCCTGGGTGGAGGCCACGCAGGTGGGTCCTTGGCGGCCGGGCTGGGCTCGGGGGACGGCCAGGCGGGCCCGAGAGGGGGTTGACCACCTCACCCTGTCCGAACTTGCACCCCGAAAGGTAGGACCGGCGCCCCCACTTTGGAGCCTTTATAGTCCAGCGTCCCCTCCTCTTTCTTTCTCCCCTCCTTTCCTGGGTGCTGGGAAAAGCTTCTCGACGTTGGGGGGAGGGGGGTCGAGGAAATTTCCCCCCCTCGTGGTTTAAGCTTCCCACCTTTGGGGGGGGGTGATTGGGTTGGGGAGGACATTTGCTCCCTCTTTTCCTCTCCCATCATGCCTTTCCTCACCTGTGGGGTTCGAGACCCCACAGCTTTACCTCCCCTTACCTTTGCTCCCCAGCGACCCTCTACCTTATGAGGGGTGGGGCTGAGAGAGCAATTTAAGACCCTCCCCACCTTCCCCAATAAGGCGGCACCCTTGGGGTTATTTGCCCTTAAGGACCTGTCCCGACAGGTAGATAGAACCTCCCCCACCCAAAAAAACCCACACACCTTTACTGGGCTTAGGTATCTATTCATTAAATTTAATAAACACCCAGCCCACTTTTGCAATTGCTAACCCCCCCCCTATGAGGGGTGGGGCTTAGAGAGCAATTTGAGACCCCTCCCTCCCCACATACCTCCCCACATAGGGTGGCAGCCTTGTGGGCTCCTTGGCCTTAAAGGACCTTCTTCCACAGGTAGATAACCCCCCCCCCAACCTTTACTGGGTTTGTTTGTCTTTTTATTATTTCATATGTTATTTAACAGAAGAGTTGGAAGGGACCTGGTAGGTCATTTAGTCGAGCCCCCACCCTACCCTGCCCAAGTAGGGGGACCCTACACCGGGGTCTCCAACCTTGGCCCCTTTAAGCCTGGAGGACTTCCACTCCCAACTGGCTGGGGAATTCTGGGAGTGGAAGTCCTCCAGGCTTAAAGGGGCCAAGGTTGGAGACCCCTGCCCTGCACCATTTCTGACAGGTGGCAATCAATCCATTGAAACCAGGGGCCTCCAAACTTGGGCCCTTTAAGACTTGTGGACTTCAACTCCCAAAATTCCTCAGCCAGCAAAGTCTTAAAGTGGCCAAGTTTGGGGACTCCTGTGTTAAACATACGGTCATGTGTTTAACATAGGTTCACAAAACCCCTTTATGCAGGCTACGAGAAAAATAAACCCAGCAAGCAGCATTTGCACAACATTTTAGCTGGGTAGGATCCCATCCAGAAAAACAATCCAATTCAGGCACCCAGGAAAGTGGATTAAGAGATCTGGAACCAAGTGGCCTCAAAAGTTGTAATAATTCTAACTATGGATTTCAACAGATGGCACCTGAGCTTGAAACTGCAGGTCCTTCTCCCTGGCCGTTGTAAGTCAAGGACGTGCCACATTTTTGCAGCAGCTCTAGGTGGCTTATCAAATGATAAGGTAAGACAAGTAGTCCTCCTCTTGCAACCGTTCATTTAGTGACCATTTGAAATCACAACGGCACTGAAAGAAGTGACTTGGGACCGTTTTTCGCCCTTACGACCATCACAGCATCCGCAAAGTCAGGGGATCAGACGTTAGACAAGGGACTTTCCAAAAGCTGGAAGAGTGATAAGATACCGATAGAGGGAAAGATAATTGAAAGAAATATTTGAATGTGCAGAAATGAATAGGAATTAAAGAAAAGAATCTGAATATTACACGGTATGGGATTTGTTTTATCAATGGATAGAAAATAGAACAAATTAAAAGGGATTAGATGTATTCATAGAGCAATAAGAGAAACTAATGTAATAGATATATTGGATCTCATATGTATGGAAATGTGATTATTGTTATTGTTAAGTATGATAAGAATATTATTAATATTGGTTAAGTAATTGAAATATGTGCCTAATCAGTGCATCATTGAAATGGAATAGATTTTTTTGTATATATAAAAAAAAAAAGACGTTAGACAAGGGACTCAGATTTATGACGATGGCTGTGGCAATGGCGGGAACCAGGTTCACCGAACAACCGAGTTACTAACTTAACAAGTGCAGTGATTCACTTAACAACAGTGGCAAGGAAGGGCGTAAAATGGGGCAACATCCATTTAGCAAATGTCTCAGCAGCAGAAATTTTGGGTCTCGGTTGTGGTCGTAAAGCAAGGACTACCTGAAAAAAAATGGACCAAGTGTCAAATCGGTGGAAAATCTCACAGAGAGATTCATGGCTGAATAAGTGGATTTGCATCTGGTTTCTTGGATTCAAATCCGCCATGCAAACCTGTACAGAGCAATTAAAATTAAGAAAGATTAAATAAAGACTAAAAAGTAAGAAGACGGACGACACAGGGTGGTGACTGGGGTCGTATCTTCACCCTATCAGCCAGTCCCAGCAGAGAGCATCCCACTGGGGCCAGGAGGCAGCTGGCAGAGCCAGGTTTTAAGGCTCTTCCAGCAGGCCAGGAGCTTGGAGACCCCACCTCACCTCCCATAGGAGAAGAGTCCAAAGGGGCACAGCAAAAGAAGGCCTCTTCTCCTGGACTCCACCAGCTGAACTTCTTTGGCAGAAAGGATCTCAGTAGATCTCTTCACTGGAGTGAGTGGGACAAGCTTGGGCTGAGGTGACTCCTCAGGGGATCCAGATCTCTTTGACCAAGCACAAAAAGAAGGGGAAAAGGCGACCTTATGCTGAAGAGAATTGTAATGGTTCTGTGAGAGAAGAAAAATATGTTCTCAGTTTGAAAAAAATTGGAAGAAGAAAATTTCAGGTATGAAAACTGGCTGGGTGACCTTGGGACAGTCGCTCTCAGTTCAACCCACTTCATAGTGTCCTTGTGGGGAAAATAGGCAAGCTTATTGGCAATGTTTTCCATATATTTTAAAAAGCAGGATAAAAAAAACTAATAATTCTCATAATAAGATATCCAGGGGCTTAAACGATAGCAGTTAATTTATATCCTGGGTATTTCAAGCAGTAGAAATAATTGTACTTCTTTTGTCCAGTTGTATCCGGTTATTGGAGACTGCCTGGGTAAATCCCTGCAGTTTTCTTTGGCAAAGTTTTGCAGAAGTGGTTTGTCATTGCCTCCTTCCTAGGGCTGAGGTAAAGTGACTGGCCCAAGGTAGCCAAGACGAGACTAGGACTCATAGTCTCCCAGTTTGTAGCCTGATGCCTTAACCACCATGCCGAATTTTCTCTCCAGTTATAAATTACCATGCAATAAATAAAATATTGGAGGATTTTTCTTATGGGACAGTTAATATTAATGGTTATGGGAGACCTGCTAAGTCAGTCTCATGGTAGGAAATAGGAGGACGTTGCAGGCATTCAAATTAGATGATTTCAGGTTGCACCCAGGGTTTTTTTTATTAAGACTTAAGAAATCAGAAGGAAAGAATGGTTGAGCTCCCATTCTTAAAAAATATAAAAAACTTGGCTTTTTATAGAGTTTTGCCTTCTCTTCCATTTATTGCCATGTTGTGAGTCTTTTCTAGGTGATCACTTTTGTACTTAAGGGCAAGGTGTGACTGAGTCAGTGCTGCCCTGTGGCAGTAAATGTACTTTTGGCATCCAGTGGGTAAATTATTGTACCCGTGGAATTGTGCCAAAGCCTAGTGAAGCAGATAGTGGATGTTTCTCCTCTGGCATATTGGCTGGATTCACACTAGAGCAAACTGAAAATGAGGTTTGATGGGTTGTGGGTTAAATTCACCTGGGTCTCTTTGCATCACATTATAAGGTATAATACATACTTGGGCATGGCATGTTTTATGATTTGTTAAGTGGACTTGGGATCAAATATATTCTATAAATGTATCTGCCGTGTTTCCCCGAAAATAAGACCGTCTTATAATTTTTTGCCATCAAAAAAGGCACCAGGTCTTATTTTGGGGGGATGTCATCCACAGACCAACCTCACTTGCGTGCGTTGCCTCCAGCCTCCTTTTTGCTGTCAGAGGCCTTCGGGAACTTCTTCTGCAGCTGGCATGCCTTTCCTGAAGGCCTCTGCAGCTGATAACAGCCAATAACTCCAGATCGATCCGGAGCTTTGTTATATCAGCTCCAGAGGCCTTCAGGAAAGCCTTGCTAGCCTGGCCGGCTGCAGAAGAAATGGGCCGGCAAGGCAGGTGTCGGGGTGTGCGAGGCCTGGCTACAACTGTCCAATGGTAAGTAGTAGGGCAGTTCCACCCCCTCATCCCTTCCCGTAGCTTAATTTTTACCCATGCATTCTGGAGTGGGTGGGATCTTAATTAGGGCTTATTTTGGGGGATAGGGCTTATATTGGGTGCATGTGTAAAAATCAAGCTAGGATTTACTTTCAGGGTAGGTTGTATTTTCAGGGAAACGGTATATGAGGCTGAAAGAGAAGAGGTTCAGCCATTGAACTGAGCAAACTCACAATATAGTGGCTCCTGTATATGAGGGGCTTCCAACACTCCTCCAATATCCCCAGTGGAAGTAGCGAGTGGCGATTATTGTGCTTGCCGAATGCATTTTTTGTTGTGCTCATATACTTTGTTCCAACATTTCTTCTTAATTGGTTTTTTTTTAAAAAAAAAGCAGAGTGTGCAATGTTTTTATTTCAATTTGTGGCTTCCAAATACTAAAGTAATAAAAAGGGCTTGTGATGAACTATCACTGCAATCATTTTCCAAAGAGGGGCCAGATCCTGCACTTAAACTTTCACATGTTCCCACCCATCCAAAAAACCTTAGGAGCCCTGCTGTCTTCGCATCTCAGATGTTGCTGCTGACCAATCTCATTGAAGTCGTTTTCCAAGCATACGTAATGAAAAGCATGTTCCTCTTTTGCAGAGCTAGCAGCAGCTGTGAAGATTTCTCCGTGCGTCTTTGGAGGACCGAATAACCGTCAGCATGATGTTCGTCCAACGGCAATTAGCCCTTCAGTGGCAAAGAATGACTTTGACCTGGTGGAGGCTGTGTGGCTCCCGGCACAGTAGCAGCAATGGAGCTGGGCCTCACTTGATGCCCCTGCCAACACAAGCACAAGTGGTTATCTGTGGTGGTGGAATTATGGGCACCTCAGTGGCCTATCATCTCTCCAAGCTAGGGTGGAAGGACATTGTCTTACTGGAGCAGGGCAGGTAAAGGGTTACGTTTGTTGAGAGTGTCACCAGTCATAACTTCCTTGGTCTTCCTCCTCTCAAACCACCCACCATTTGTTCTGAAATGCATCTTTATTTATTCTCTATAAACAATCGGATTTCCTCACTGTGCCTTTTTTTTTCTGCACTGGGTGCTTCTTTTTTTATATATATTATGCCTTCAATGACCCCCCCCCCCTTTTTTGAGAGTAAAAGAAATGGAAATGGGCTGGTCGCAGAGCAAGAAGAACTGATGGCAGGTGGACCAAGGCGGTCATAGAATGGATCCCAGTTGATGAAAAGCGTCCACGAAAGAGACCTAAAACTAGATGGAAAGACAACATCAGCAAGTATGGCGGGCCCAATTGACCAAAAGAAAGTTCGGGACCGTCTGGGTTGGAAACATGCAGAAGAGGCCTTCGCCCTGCACTAGATAGAACAAGGGCTGGAATGAATGAATGAATTGATCCCCTATTCCACGGGTGTCAAACTCAAGGCCCACAGGGGTGCTTAATTTTGGCCTGCGGGGCTGGCCTGGAAATAGCAAAGGACCGGCCCGCGGTGCCTCTTGCAGCCAAAATGGGGCATGGGAGGGAGGCTCACACAGCCCCCTGCACCCCCGTTTTCTGCCGGGGTGGCCTCCTCCAGCATTTTGCTGGCCAAAACGGCATGGGGTGGGGGCATGCGTCCATCCAGGCAGGAAACAGGGCACAGGGAGGGGGCTAGTATGCCGCCCATGCCCAGTTTTGGCTGGCAAAATGCTGCAGGAGGCGTCCGCCCCATCTCTTCTCCCCCCTCCCAGCCCTCAGCAAATTCAGCAACTACAGTGCTGATCCAACCCTTGGAGGCATTCAGTTTGACACCCCTGCCTTATTCATTCTGGACCGCATCTCTGCTTCTTTTACCATAAAGGTGGTCCTTAACTTATGGCTGTAATAGAGCCCAGAATTTCTGTCCTATGTTACAATGGCAGTAAGTCGAGGCACCCATATGATCCACCCGTTTTGCAATCATCACAACTTATGATCGTGATGAGCAGAGTCCATTATGGTTGTAAGTCAAGGACTGCCTGTATGTATAACTTGCAATTGAGCTCCGGGACTTCTTGTTCCTCCTCCTCCTCCCTCTTGGGGTCTGGAGCTTCTCTTCACCTCTGGCTTTTCCCTTTTAGGCTGGCGGCCGGTTCCACTCGGTTCTGCGCAGGCATCGTAAGCACAGTGCACCATTTGTCCATCGAGCTAAAGATGGCCCATTACTCCAGGAAGCTCTACCAGCAGCTTAAGCAAGAGACTGGTGTGGAAACTGGTAAGCACTGGAGGGGTCAGTTTGGGGAAACAAGGCATCCTCTATCTACCTTGCTGGCACCCTCTAACTGCGTCAGGAGTAGAGGTAGGATAGGACAGGACAGGACAGGACAGGACAGGACAGGACAGGACTGGACTGGACTGGACTGAACTGAACTGAAGTGAACTGAACTGAACTGAACTGAACTGAACTGAACTGAACTGAACTGAAAATAGAATTCTTTATTGGCCAAGTGTGGTTGGACACACAAGGAATTTGTCTTGGTGCAAATGCTCTCAGTGCACATAAAAGAAAAGATATATTCATCAAGAGGCAAGAATCATCAGGTCCAATACTTAATGACAGTCATAGGGTACAATAAGCCATCAAATCATACTAGGAAACAGTCCATATAAATCGTAAGGATACAAGCGACAAAGTTTATGTCCGGAGTGTGAGGGGTCTGTAAATACTGGTACTGTAGAGTGGAGTAGAGTAGAGTAGAACAGAACAGAATAGGATAGAAAAGATTTTTGAGGTCTTCTAGTCCAGCCCCCTGCTCAATCAGGAGACCCTATACCACTCCAGGCAAGTAGCTGTCCAGTCTCTTCTTAAAAACCTCCAGTGATGGATCATCCACAACTTCTGAAGGCAACTTTTGTTCCACTGGTTAATTGTCCTCACAGTCAGGAAGTTTCTCCTTAGTTCTAAGTTGCTTCTCTGCTTGATTAGTTTCCATCCATTGTTTCTTGTCCTGCCCTCAGGTGCTTTGGAGAATAGCTGGACTCCCTCTTCTTTGGGGCAGCCCCTGAGATATTGGAAGACCGCTATCATGTCCCCCCTGGTCCTTCTTTTCGCTGGACTAGCCAAACCGTTAACGACCATTAGAGCCTTCCCATGGTCATGTGATCAAAATTCAGACGCTTGACTCATCTTTATGATCGTTGCATTGTTCTGGGATCTTGTGGGTCCCCCTTTGGGACCTTCTGACAACCAAAGCCAGTGGGGACGCCAGATCCACTTGACAACCAGGTTACTAACTTGTCAACTGCAGTGATTCACTTAACAACTGAGGCAAGAAAATGGGACAAAACTCAATAAATGTCTCAGCGACAGACATATTAGGCTCAATTGTGGTCGTTAGTCGAGGACTGCCTGTATAACAATGGTGTGGTTTAAACTCGCTTCTCTTCATGGCTGTGCAGAGATCAGAAGCTTGGATTCTCTTGTCCAAGCTCTTCCTTCTAACACAGGGTGTCCCAACCGTGGCAATTCCCAGGTATATTGACTTCCACTCCCAGAATTCCACAACCAGCATAGTCATTGCAGAGAATTCTGGGAGTTGATGTCCACCAAGGTTGGGAAATATCTGCTTCTTAACATCGGCTTCCTTCCGCTTTTTTTCCCATCCAAGAAAATGGCTGTTTGGTGGGACTGCAACGGAGGCTGAGAGGGGGTTATTTTTTTTGTACCAGGTTACGTGAAGACGGGCTCCATCTCACTAGCTCAGACTCAAGACCGGCTGATCTCGCTGAAGCGCATAGCCTCGCGACTCAAGTAAGCTGGCGCATATATGCACGTCTGGTGGGGTGGCACCTCCTTCGCCAGCCTGGTTGGAACAAGGGTGTAACAATGCCTGTGTGTCTCCGGCAGAATCATGGGCATTCCCTGCGAGCTTATCCCGCCAAAGAGGGTGGCCCAGCTCCACCCCTTTATCAACATCCACGACCTGGTGGGGGCCCTGCATGTGCCCGAGGACGCCGTCATATCATCTGCTGACGTGACCCTCGCTTTGGCCAGTGCTGCTGCAGCGAACGGTATGACCCAGCCTGCTCAGGGTCCCGCTGGGGCTCCCTTTCTCAGGGGGTGGAGCACTGCTTGGGAGGGGGGCCTGGAACGATGCTGCAAAACCACAGGGATAGACTCCCCTCCAGCTTTTCTTTAAGGCATTGAGTTGTGGCCTGTCAGCTGCCGGCCCCTCCAGCAGCCGAATCAGAGGTGGAGGAGGAAGAGGCGTGGGAGTTAGGGTAAGCATCAAGGCAACCTGAGAAGTTCCAAGGAGGAAGAGGGAATGGAGCTGGCAGAGAGGCAGAGGCAGAGCCTGGGCCACCCGTCAGCCCTCAGATGGAGAGTCAGCAGCCCCCAGGTCAGGAGGTGGCTGATGAGGAAGAGGAGGAACGGCTGCGTCCAGTGCCAGACTTGTGGATGCGCAGGAGGCAAAGGAGAGGAGAGCAGTGGAAATCTATGGGCTGGTCCTTGGAACGGAAGAGCCACCGCTGCTAGCAAGGCCCCACCCTAGCTCTGGGGATAAAAGGCAGGGGGCGGAGATGAAGAGATGTGGCAGACAACTAGTCACCTCCCTGCTGGGCGGACTTGTTAGCCTGCGTCGAGAGAGGAACTTTTTGCTGGGGCTGTTGGCGCTCCTAATAAAGGAATCTTTTGAGTTCACTTCAGAGGGTTTGTCGTGTTTGGGGAGCTGGGTCAGAACACATTGGGTGTATGTTGTTTTGTGGGCATTTTGTGAGAAGCAGCTTCTGTTTGATGGATCTGGAGAGAACTGTTTTAGACCCTATCCTGAAAACAAGGAAGCTTCAGCTGATGGGGAGTAATATAATTATCATTGTGTCCTGTGTTTTTACCCTAAGCAAGACCAGGTAGATGGTCCTTCTTGGGCAGAGGGCAGGATCTCTCGTCACTGTTGACTGGAGTGGCACGAAAAAGCCCAGCCCTGCATGTATGGCTTCAAGGGGTTGGGTTGCAGGTTAATTCTGGGACTTTGCAAGTAAAAGGGTCAGAGCATTGTGGTGGAGAAGACCTTTCTCTGGCTTGAAAGTGTCTTGTCTTTGATGGTATTGGGGCTCCAAACCCGGCCACCTTAAGACTTGTGGACTTCGACTCCCAGAATTCCTCAGCCAACAAAGTGCCAAGGTTGGACACCCCCTGGGCAAGAGATTGTGAGAGTTGAATACTGTTGTCTCTGGAGGAACCTCACTGGAGAAGGTGGCCTCCTGTAGGCTTTTAGGAGCCCTCCTTCACCCTTTAGTGACAACAAAGGACATTGACATCACAACATGGTGTGAATTGAAGTTGGCATTGCAGAGGGCTGCTGTTTTTCAAAGAAGCATTGTGCTGTTCGTAGTGAGCAAGAGGAGGCCATATCAGATGGCCTTGCTTGGATCAAGAAGTCCCACAGAATCTGAAGATAGCAGTGGCACTTAGACTTGTGTACTGCTTTCCAGCCCTCTCTAAGTGGTTTACAGAGTCAGCCTCTTGCCCCCCAACAATCTGGCTCCTCATTTTACCCACCTGGGAAGGACGGAAGGCTGAGTCAACCTTGAGCCTGGTGAGATTTGAACTGCTGAACTGTTGGCAGTTGACAGTCAGCAGAAATAGCCTGCAGTACTGCACTCTAACCACTGCACACCATGGATAGATGATTGGATGGATGGATGGATGGAAGGGCAATAGCAGTGGCACTTAGCTTCACAGTGCTTTCCAGCCCTCTCTGTGTGGTTTACAGACTCAGCCTGTTGCCCCCAACAATCTGAGTCCTCATTTTACCCACCTGGGAAGGACGGAAGGCTGAGTCAACCTGGAGCCTGGTGAGAATTGAACTGCCAAATTGCAGGCAGCTGGCAGGCAGCAGAAGTAGCCTTGCAGTACTGCACCCTAACCACTGCGCCACCGTGGCTCTTGCAAAACAACCCTGGTGGCTTTCTTGGACCCATGTGTTGTTGTTTTTTTAAGAAATCTTAGCTCATTACCCTAAATGCTGTTTGCTTATTTGTGACATAAAATCAGTTACAAACCATGACAGTGTCCCATATCTCCCCACCACTTCCAAGAGGCTGAATGTTGAGTCCATCCCTGTTCAGTGGTGGTACAGCCCCATTGGCCACACTAGTAACTCTGGTAGGCCAAAGAGCTCTGTGCTAAGTGGGCCTTTTAGGTGCAGAAAAACTCTTAAGTTAAGGCTTAACTTAAGCCACCGTGGCGCAATGGTTAGAGTGCAGTACTGCAGGCTCCTTCTACTGACTGCTGGTTGCCAGCAGTTTGGCAGTTCGAATCTCACCAGGCTCCAGGTTGACTCAGCCTTCCGTCCTTCTGAGGTGGGTAAAACGAGGACCCAGATTGTTGGGGGCAAGAGGCTGACTCTGTAAACAGCTTAGAGAGGGATGTGAAGCACTGTAAAGCGGTATAAGTGCTATTGCTAAACTAAGTGCTATTGCTAAACTAACCTCAGTAATAGCAATAGCACATAGACTTATATACCGCTTCACAGTGCTTTTCAGCCCTCTCTTAAGTGGTTGACAGAGTCAGCCTATTGTCCCTCAACAATCTGGGTCCTCATTTTACCCACCTCAGAAGGAAGGAAGGCTGAGTCAACCTTCAACCGGTCAGCATCAGTCGACAGAATCAGCCTGCAATGCTGCCTTCTAACCACTGCGCCACCCGGGCTGTGTAATTATCCTGCATTTTGCTTCATTGCTGTAGCTGAATTCCTTACGTTGCCTTCGTTTTGAATGCCGCAAAGGGGACTTCTTGCCTGCAGATGAAGTTCTGGAGCAGTGATCCTGTCCACAAACTCCCCACCTTTGTTTAAGAGCCCCAGAACTGTCCTTTTGGGTCAGATCAAAATTAGTCTTTACTGATTCTGGCAGAGTTTGCTCAAGATTTCTGGGCAGGACTGGAGCGTGGCTTCTGCCTATTTCTGTGTCAAGGTACCTTGCTGTGAGGTGATATCCTTTTGAAGGCAGCATTCCGTTTGTCAAACTGTGCTTGTCAAGGAGCATGAATGGCGGTGAGGCTCCGTTGAGTTGTGTTTCTGTTGAGTTGTGTTCCTTGCCGTGTGGCACTTTGGGGTGAGCAGGGCCAAGAATGATAGTGAAAGACCAGGTTCTTTGCAGCTTTCCCTTGCAGTGGATCACCAGAGATCACCCAACTTCCTCTCCGCTGTTGTCTCCCCAGGGGTTCAAATCCACGAACGAACCAGTGTCATCCACGTCCTGGGCCAGAAGGGCTGCGTAACTGGAGTGGAGACGGACAGAGGGATGATTGAGTGCTCCTACTTCGTCAACTGTGCTGGGCAGGTGAGGCCCTGATTGGACCGTGGGGCTGAAGGGCTTGTCAGCCTGACTGTGTCTGGGTATTCTCTTTGGGGCAGATGTTGGGCTCCTGTGCCAAAAATTGTGTGCGCACTTGCACACTCACGCTCACATGCCAGCACCCAGAAGGCAATGCACGCCCTCCCCACACCCCTATGCATTGCCTTCTGGGTGCCTCTCCACCCACCCACCCACCCCCTGCCGCCCCTTTACCTGCACTGCATCTCACAGCTGATTTTCGGCCAGTTTGAGGCCTTTTTGGCCTCCCAAAGGCTTGAGGAAAGCTTCTGCAGACTTCTGCAGGCTTTGCAGGCCGAAAACTAGCCCCGTTTCGTCACTTCCAGTATTTTCGGAAAAACAGGAAGTGACGAAACAGGGCTAGTTTTCGGCCTGCGGAAGCCTTCCTCGAGTCTCTGGGAGGCCGACAAAGGCCTCAAACCAGCTGAAAATCAGCTGTGAGGCATGCGCATGCCCAGTGAGGTAAATTTGCCTGCAGCTCGCGTGCCGGCACAAATGGCTCTGCGTGCTACCTGTGGCACGTGTGCCATAGGTTCGCCATCACGGCTTTGGGGGGTTCTGAGACTGCCTGCCAAAGGAGACTTATCGAGCAGATATTACGTGGCTGGGCCTTTTATGCAATGAACGAGAGGCACTTGTTCAAGTTGGCAAGTTGCTCATGTCATTAGATGGGGAATAGAATAGAATGAGCTGGAAGGGACCTTGGAGGTCTTCTAGTCCAGCCCCCTGCTCATGCAGGAGAACTGGTAGCATTTCAGATAAGTGACTGTCTAGATCAGGGGTCTTTAATCTTAAACACTCAAGGAGCCACTTGGACCCGTTTCCCATAGAAAAGAAAACCCCGGGAGCCAATAATTTATAACAACCGGTGTGACCGGATGGGCATGTGGCCAACTGGAGATCACTCACTCCCACCCAGCCAATGGTGGGGTCAGCTGATAGGGAGCCGCAGCAGAGGGCCAAAAGAGCCGCCTGTGGCTCCAGAGCTGCAGGTTGCAGACCCCTGGTCTAGATTCTTCTTAAAAATATAAATAATGGAGCGCCCAAGATTTCTGGTGGCCAGCTGTTCCACTGGTTAATTTTCCTCTCTGTTAGGAAGTTTCTCCTTAATTCCAGGTTGCTTCTCTCCTGGTTTAGACTCAGTTGCAGTTGTGCTAAATGGTGTGGCTGGTGAGATCGAGGGCAGGGGGCGAGTGGATGGTGTGTGAATGGCTCCTTGTTGCAGGCATATAGTTGCCAGAAGACCGGAAGGGGCTCATGGGAAGGTTATCTGTCTGTTTTTCTCTCTTCTGTTTGGGTTCTGTGATCAGCACTAATTATGCAGAATTGTGCTCAGCGAGTGTTAAACCATATTACCCAATATTTACTAACTGTATGCAACACCGGTTGAAAAGCAGGCTGTAAAACAAAATAGCAAATAACTTGTTCCTTATGTATTTTGTCTCTGGTGACAAGAGGTGTAAAGAACAGATCCTTGTACTTCTTCCCAGGCAATTGTTTATATCCATCCTGCAATCTTTCTTCCTTGTACTACATATCAGATATATTATCACTGCTGTTTCTTTGGCAACAATAAGAATCTCATTACCTTATATGCCGGCGTATAAGACGACCCGGCGTATAAGACGACCCCCCAACATT